TCTCTTGATTGAACTAAAGCAGCGCTGTTCAACCTTGGCAACTTTAAATAAGACTTGTGGACTTCAATTTCCAGAATTCCCCAGCCAGTATAGGGAATTGTGAATGGCTGGCTAGGGAATTCTGGGAGTTGAAGTCCGCAAGTCTTAAAGTTGCCAAGGTGGACACCACTGAACTAAAGAATAGGACTATAGGCTGCTCATTTCAATTACAGCAAATTGCTTGATGAAAGGGATGGATATCCATATTGATATCTACATTTTGTCAGATTTCTTCTGTTTGTTGCGTGGGTAACCCTGTTGTCAACAAGGATAGGAACAAGAGCGAGTCCTTGCTTGGGCGTTCTACTAGCAGAGTCCACCAGGGCAAATCAGATTGATCTCTAGCCTTGTGTTGGAACTGCAGAAACCAGACAACTCATCACAACAGAAGTAAATCAAGTGTTGTATGTACAATATGCAAAAACCTAAGTCTGTGAGGGGTCCTTGGTACTCTGTGAGTTTGGTTGGTTTCTTGCAGACATCTCATTATCCAAACTAGGTAACATCATCAGTGCTTCTGATCACTGAGCACTGATGATGTTGTCTAGTTTGGGTAATGAAATGTCTGCAAGAAAACAAGCAATCTCAGAGAGCACCAAGGACCCTTCATTTCAACCCTGAGCTACAAATTTTCTCCTTTATTGGAACCCAGTCTGCGTTGTAGCCTGTAGTTTCACAAAGACACGCTTTTTCCAGATACAGGAATGTTTGAGTTACCCTGAATTATTTTCTTGTATATGCAGAGTTCTGCTGCGTATAGCCTAGGCAGGGTACGTGCTACGTTTCTACCAAATCTGGCACTGAGTTGTGTTTTTTAGCTTTTGGGGAATCTTGACTTGATTATTTTAAATTTTGAAACATTTATTAGCAACCGTAGGATTTAGCAAAATTCATATAAAATTGCAGCACATGGGCGTGATTTAAAAGAGGAATAAAGATTAATTTTTATGGACAACCTCCAATTGATTCTCAAAAACCCAGAATATGTTCTGATTTATAATGGTCAGAGTCCTACATACTTAGCAATTTTAATTCTTTGTTGTTTTCCAAATGGCAGTCAGAGCAATTTTTAAAAGGTCTTTGATCCACAGCTGCAGGGAGGAGAGGGGAAAGAGTACATGTGGGTCTATGAGGTTTTTTTATGCTGTCTTAAAAATAAATAAACATCGAACAAAGAACTTGTTTGTAGCAAAGGCTTAATTGCTATGAAGCTCCTAATTAGTCCATCCTCTTTCTGCAATATCATATTACTGGGTTCTACCCCAGAACAGGTTAAAAGAAGCTGCGTCACAGACAGTTCTCAATATACAACGACAATTTATGTTGCTAATAAGTTGCACCTAATTGTATTACCTTTTTGAACCTGGTTGTTAAATGAATGATGTGGTTAAGCCAATCCGGGTTGCCCCATTGACTTTCCTTATCGGGAGCCAGATGGGAAGTTCGCAAATGGCGATCACGTAACACCAGGATGCTGCAACCATTGTACACCGTTGTAACTTCAATCAATTACTGAACTTATGGTTGTAAACTGAGGATGACCTGTATACTGAATCAGACACAAATCTGTCTAATCTGCTACAGGTAGTCCCCGACTTATGGCCACAATTGAGCCCAACATTTCTGGTGTTAAGTGAGACATTTGTTAAGTGAATTTTGCCCCATTTTACAACCTTTCTTGCCTGCAGTTGATAAGTTAGTAACCTGGTTGTTGAGTGAATCGGGCTTCCCGTTGTCAGAAGGTCACACAAGGAGGACCTTTGCAGGACACTGCGACCGTCATAAATACGAACCAGTTGCCAAGCATCTGAATTTTGATCATGAGAGCATGGGGAAATGCTGCAATGGTCGTAAGTGTGAAAAACGGTCATAAGTCACTCTTTCCAGTGCCGTTGTAACTTTGAACAGTCACTAAATGAACTGTTGTAAGTCGAGGACTACCTGTATTGTCTGGAACCAACCTTCCTTAGTTTTGTTCTCTTGTTTCGGCCTATAGCTAGCGCCGTGCCTGGGGTTTCTCAGTCCTACTTGGAGATGCTGCAGATTGAATAATCTTCTTCTTCTTCTTCTTCTTCTTCTTCTTCTTCTTCTTCTTCTTCTTCTTCTTCTTCTTCTTCTTCTTCTTCTTCTTCTTCTTCTTCTTCTTCTTCTTCTTCTTCTTCTTCTTCTTCTTCTTCTTCTTCTTCTTCTTCTTCTTCTTCTTCTTCTTCTTCTTCTTCTTCTTCTTCTTCTTCTTCTTCTTCTTC